GGCTTAGTAGATGAGAGCTTCAGCGTAAGTCACATTCCACTTCTGATCTGTTTCTTCTCTTATTTTATATTTTACTAAAATAGAAAATTCCACACGCAATTATATGGTATTGAAAATGGCAGGAAGTGCTTCTTTCAGACACTCTGGATATTTGGATCAAGTATGAACCCAGGGATTCTGAGTGAGTTTTTGATGCTCAGAAAGTAGCACATGTACTTCAGAGCTGGCAGGCTGAGAGTTCAGCTTGGGACTCAGGAGTGAGCAGTTTCTAAATCACATGCTGGTTGCATTTGGCTCTAGAAGGTATGTTCTAATATGATGTTGCAGCATTTAGATGTGGTTTTTAAATATGCCCAATGATAAGCATCAATTTCCTTCTCTGAAGAATGAAGAAATCAAGAGTTGGGAAAGAATGAAAATCTTAGAAATCAAACCATTTTTATCACAATTCAGTCTTAGGAAATTCCCCATGTCCTATGCTCAGCATTCAAAACTGCAGTGCTTCAAGCCATAAAGACCAAGCCTATGCAGAGAAGTGTACACAATTTCTCTCAGATGTGCCACTGGACAGCCTCTGAAAGTCATGCAAAGGCCTTCCTGGCCTCACTAATGAGTAGCACCCCAGGAGTCCCTTCTAAATACTGCTGTAGGCTCCACACTCTTGTGTTTCCATCTCACAGAGTGATTGAGTGATGATATATTTATGTTAACATTCTATCAGTACTTTCATATTTTGGAGTACTTTTGAGCCAATAAATTTAACAAACCAGGGACATAATCCAACAGCAAGAAGGAAAAAAACAAAAATTTAATAAAGTAAACAAAAACATACACACAAAATAGGAACATATTAGCCAAGACACTCTACCATAATAGCTGAAGGTTAGCAAAGACCAACTGACTAAGACAATTCTAAGAACCTATACACAAACTTTAAGGACAAAATAGTTATTAAGAATACTATAATATATCAGTGAAAATCATAATTAATTTTACATATCCAATTTATTAAATGTATGAAGACAAAGTTTCAGGTTCCAGGTGATGCATCCCAATTCCTCCTCACATCATGTCTCAGAGCTCCCTACACCAAGCGTATTTATTTAGTGCAGATTTGAATGGTAAGGAATGAAGGCATAGAATGAAGGCAACAATCAGTGCACAGACAGCAGGGACTGAGATCTGAAACTGTTCTTTATTCAATATTACATTAAGTGGCTGCTAAATGCCAGGCTCTGCATTAGAAACAGTTTCTATGATAAATAACAAGGGGACCTTACCCTCAGTGACTAAGAAAGGAAAATTACTAGCTAAGAACACAAAACTAAATAAAACATTAGCATACTCTACCTAGCAATGTATATGAAAAATATTGAACAAGCAGAGTTAATCATTTAAATGTGAGTATGTTGCTCCATTAGGGAATTTACTAATTGTAAATTAAATAATTTGGTAGGTAATAAAATAATCACAAGAGAAGTAAAACAATTTTGACAAAACAAAACATTATTCAAGATAAAAGATTCTGAGCAACTAAGGAAAATAAAATAATATTTTTATCTTTTATTTTTATTTTTAAAATTTTCTTTATTTAATTTTAAAGATGTGGGGTTCAAGTCAGTTTTAGTTACATAAGTTGTCTACATACAGATGAAGTTTGGGTCACTCACTGGTCCTTACTTCCCCTGGTTTAGGATCTGGTACCCTTAGTGATTATGTGCCCCCCAAAATAACATTTTAAAACTGATAAAAAGTTGTTTACTATAAACATTTAACAAACATAACACCCAATCTGAAACAAAGATTCTTGTAATAACTACTTCTATTCAAATTATATTGAACATACTAGTAAGACTAGTAGATAATAAAAATAATAAAAATTGATGGAAGAAAGAAAATGGCCGTTATATTTATAGCTAAAATAACCATCTATGTAGAAACCCAACAAAATCTATGGAAAATATATTGGAAATAACGGAAGAGTTCAGCAAAGTTGCTGGTAAAAGATAAAAAAATCAACATTATTCTCATATGCCAGCAATAATTAGAAACTGTATTTTTAAAGAGACACCATTTATAGAGAACAGGAAAGTCTCAAAATATCTATCCACGGATAATTTATTCACCACAAAATGAGAAAGAACCTGTGAAATCTGTCTGTTACCAAGTCAACCAAGTGATCAAACAAGGTGTCCCCACAAAAGGGACAACCTACGTCAATGCCTCCCGATGGGGTGCCAGAGTTACACTTCCACAATCATGTAACTCACATCTTATGAGAAAACAATCAGACTGCATTCAAAAAAGCCAACTCCTTGAAAAATGGCAGGAGGGTTACTCTAGATCCAACTGTTCAAATTTTTTGGTCTCCAGAGCCCTAAACTATCAATAATTTTTGAAGACATGAAAGATCTTTGTTTACATGAGTATTTACCACATTGCTAATTAAAACTGAGAATTTAAACATTTTCATTAAGTCATTAAAATAATAACATATTAGGCAGGCTTAGTGGCTCAGCCTGTAATCCTGTGCTTTGGGAGGCTGAGGTGAGTGGACTGTCTGAGCCCGCAGGTTCGAGACCTGCCTGGGCAACTTGGCGAGACCTCATCTCTA